CATGTTGACTAACTGCAAAACTGGGGAGCATCTTGGTGGTAGGAGGGAGAATGAACAGGTGCAAACTGTTTGCCCCACATATGTCATTTTTTACAATCTCCACTGCTGCCTAGCACCATATCCTCAGTATTTCCTGCCTGAAAAATTCCAGAATGAGGGCAACTATTGTGAAAAAGGCAGAGGATGTAGTTTCATGGAAACTTTTGCCATGCTATTCTCAAAGTTTGGGTATGGTAAATGTCATTTCACCTTTTTAAAAATCCAGATTCTGCACTATTCTAGCAATGAACTGAAGAACCAGAATGACCTATAGATCAGTGCTTGCTGGGGGAAGGGAGACATTATGCGCAGGAATGCATAGCACAAGGCATAGCTGTACTTCATGTGGCGCTCACTTTAGAAAGTGTAAGTTTCCTAAATTGGCTCTAGATTCCCTACCAAGAAGTAAAATGCAAACATTAACTCCCAGCCTGCTTTTAGTGGTGGATGCAGCTTTTCACTTAACGTGAATACCATGGGGTGAATTGAGACAACGATAATTGCCTAGGGAGAAATTGAAGCTGATGGCAAGTGTCAAATATCACCATCAGGTAAAAGGCTGCAAGAATTATAGCATGTTGTAGACAGATAACCCAAGTCTGACTCTCAAAAACCCAAAGTGAAACTTACAGTGCTGAGTTAGCTCAAAAGGTTCCCATTGACCAAACCATGTGCTTCAATAATATATTAATGGAAATAATGTATGAATAATACATTATTCCCATTAACCAAACTATGTGCTTCAAACCAATAAAGATACTAACATATATAATGGGAAAACTTGTACAGCAAGTCCAAACCATTTCATCCTGAGTTATGATGGATTACCATATGCAAAGGTGTCTGCATGGTGGTGAACACAGATACATATGCAAAAGGGTTAAAATGCTAATTTGAAAAGAAAAGTCTGTCCTAATAGAATTTTCCATTACTTGGTCTGCTTTCGGATGGCTAAATAGAAACTATACTGAGTGTTGTTCTGGAAATCCAACGTAAGGTCAAAGGAAGGATAAGGGGTTTGCATCAACAAGTAGCAGAAACTGGATAGAGGATGACCTAAAAAACAGACTAAGAAAAGGTTTATCAAAATATGTCTTCAGGGCAACTGTCATTGAATTGTGGTCTCTTCTGTTTTGTGCTCTCCTGAAACCTATTAGGCTTCAGCTGCTTGTTTCAAAATACAGTGGTGCCTCACAAGACGAAATTAATTCGTTCTGCGAGTTTTTTCGCCTTGCGAATTTTTCGTCTTGCGAAGCACGGTTTTAACAGTATTAACGGTTTTAAGAAAAAGGAAACAAACTCACAAGACGTTTTCGTCATGCAAAGCAAGCCCATAGGGAAATTCGTCTTGCGAAGCAACTCAAAAAACGAAAAACTCTTTCGTCTTGCGAGTTTTTCATCTTGCGAGGCATTCGTCTTGCAAGGTACCACTGTACTGGTTTTTAGCCACGGTCAGACTGCTCTCTACAGCAAATACTCCTGTGTCAGGGCTGATATTTAGAAGGAAAATATCATTTGCCACATCCACATGCAATGCCTCTCCTTCCCTCTTCTGCTGAGCACCAAGAGAAGCCAGGGAATATGTGGAAGGAGACCACTAAGCCAGTTTCTCTAAGCCAGTGTTTATCCAGTTTCCTGGGGGCTGTTACAGCTGTATGGAGCTCTTTCTGGGTGGAATGGTGCTCCAAGCTGCTCCCATATAAGTGGTAACAAAAGGCCCAGGTTATTTTTTTTTATAAAAAAAACAAAAACCTTCACTCTGTAGTACCTCAGGTTACATACGCTTCAGGTTACAGACTCCGCTAACCCAGAAATAGTGCTTCAGGTTAAGAACTTTGCTTCAGGATGAGAACAGAAATCGTGCTCCGGCGGCGCGGCAGCAGCAGGAGACCCCATTAGCTAAAGTGGTGCTTCAGGTTAAGAACAGTTTCAGGTTAAGTATGGATCTCCGGAACGAATTAAGTACTTAACCTGAGGTACCACTGTACTCCCCTGGCTTAACTTCCCCTCACTCTCAACGGTATTGCCTTTTTATGCTGGAGCTTCTTGTCATTTTACCCTTTTTTTGGCATTTCCCCCCATTACTTTTTATTCCCAGCACACTAGAACTGTTAACATTTATTTTCCCCTACTTGATTTCCCTTTTGATTACATACTGACTCCTCCATTGTTCTGGAATGAATAACGTAACTAAATTCAGCAGGGAGAATGCTGCCAACATAATCTCTGGGTACATGACAGAAATGAAACAATTGAATGCTGAGTTGTTATTTCCAGCTTTAAAATGAGAGGGGGTGGGGAACCCACCTCCTACATACAAAGAGCACAATAATTCCAGGTTAAATAAGTAACAGCAGCTTTCACACTAGTAATGCAAGACTGTTCGGCTGTAGACCATTAACTCTACATGATGAGGGGGTTCCACATTCCTGAGGGCTTGGGGGTTTCATATTCTGCAGCTGTCTAGGGAACTACTCTACGCTGTTTATTCCTTTATTGTGGGCAGCATTTCTCTGCTTTAATTCTCCTCCTTTTAGTGTCCTATATAACCTGAGCACTCATAAACATGATTTTCATTTTCCATCGGAAATTATTTTGTTTCAAAAGAAAAAGGAAATAAAACGAATTACTTTTTTTTCCACTGAGTGCAGTCCACACTGCATATGTTTGGTCATTCAAGAGTATCTGTATGCTTTAAAGAAAAAGAAAAAGAAAAAAATAACACAAAGTTCCATCTCTTTTGGCAGTAACCAGGTAATTTTAGTACAGGGTCCAGCACAGGGTCCAGCACTACCAAGCAGGGGTCATGAAGCACAGCTGTATTCCCCAGCCTGTGCTCCTTTCACAGCTAGTAACTGGAATCCTGTACTGAAAGGTGTCCCATCTTAGAAGAAGCAAGATGGGGCCGGACAACACGGCTAGTTGTGGCGTAGTGCCAGAAACCATGAGTGGAAGCCCACAAATTCCAATTTTCAGCTCTTATCTCTGCCATAAACCTATTAGGCAAATATGAAATATGGAGATAATATTGGCCACCTTATGGGGTGGTTGTAAGATCGTTCAGCCCGGACACTGAGGTCCAGGTCCGAGGGCCTTCTGGCAGTTCCATCCCTGCAAGAAGTGAGGTTACAGGGAACCAGGCAGAGGGCCTTCTTTGTAGGACCGCCCGCCCTGTGAAACGCCCTCCCGTCAGATGTCAAGGAAACAAACAACTAACTTTTAGAAGACAGCTGAAGGCAGCCTTGTTTAGTGAAGTTTTTAATGTTTGAAGTTTTATTCTGATTTTAGTGTTCTGTTGGGAGCCACCCAGAGTGGCTGGGGTAGCCCAGCCAGATGGGCAGGGTATTATTATTATTATTATTATTATTATTATTATTATTATTTGTTACAACTGCCAGATTCAGGAGACTTCATTCTCTCTCAATCCGTTTCTCAAAACTGGGATAAGAAAATCCACACCTGTGGCCAATTTTTGCCTTCACTCTCTGTTTAAATGGATCGCTGTAATGAAAACAGACCATGCCTTCAGATACTCGCCTTGTCATATTGATCAGGCTGAAATATCCCTCAAACCAATCTGGAAAAAAGACTGGGCACCTTAATTACCACAGGCAAGGGATGAAATACGTTCCAGTGCCACTTTCCGGGTATCAGCAAATGGATATATCACAGCAGGTCAAAGGGAATGGTTTTACAAATACAGACATAACTGCTTCTGAGACTGGGCATTGCCATTCTTTGTTTTGCATTCCGACATTTGTATATGAAAGCTGCTTTACACTGAGCCCCTATCTCTGGTCCACCTAGCTGAATATTGGCAACAACTCTCCAGCTTCTCTTTCCCAGTTCACCACCATCCCTGGAGAGAGAGAGGGCTTTGTTACCTGCAGCTAACGATCTATGCTACAGGATGTCCCTTTGTGCTCCAGCTAACACCTGGGACTGGCCCTGCCTCCCTCTGCACTGCTCCAGAGTGTGACTTAGGCTGCAACATCCACACCATATATTTAAAACACTATGATACCATTTTAAACAGCCATGGCTTCCACCAAAGAACTCTTGGGAGCTGCAGTTTGTCAAGGGTGCTGTAAGTCGTTAAGAGACTCCTATTATCAGGGAGCTGAGGGCTGTTAGAGGAGACCATTTTGAGGCTTGTTTGCTTGTTTGTTTTGCATTCAAGAAGCATATAATTTTTATGAAATAATAAATAAAATATTCCCATGCCAGAGCTACAATACCCAGATTTCTCTGAAACAAGGGATTGGTTGTTAAACTACTCTGAAAATTGTAGTTCTGGGAGGGGAACAGGAGTCTTCTAACAACTCTTAGCACCCTTAAGAAACTACAGCTCCTAGAACTCTCTGGGGGAAGCCATGACTGTTTAAAGTGGTTTCATGGTGCTTTAAATGTATGGTGCAAATGTGGCCTAAGTCACATTCTTCAGCAGTGCAAAGGGAGGCAGGGAACAACCATTGATGCAAAGTATTTGATTTACCAATGAACTATAAACTGTCCCGTAACCAATGAGAAAACTGGCACATCTACTTATGTACTATTTAAAAATACCCTTAAGAGAATTATGTTTGAGACACAAGCACATTATTGCCATCCGTCATTCAGTGGGAGTAGAATCATAGAATTGTAGAGTTGGATGGGACCCCAAGGGCAATCTAGCCCAACGCTGTGAAATGCAGGAATCTCAGTATCTGACATATAAGGCCGAAACAAGAACAATTCCGAAATTCCGGGGAAATGCTGGCCCTTTTAAATCTGCTGCATTTGCACTGGCGTTCATAGAACCATATGAATGCTGCTTCAAAAGAAAACTTTGCCAGATGCTTCTATGAACGGACTAATGCTTTGTTCCTATGCATTAGTTTGCAGAGTCTTCTTGTGACCCGTTATCTTTCAGGTCATATGGGTTGCTATGCCCTGAAAGCTACAGCTTCATTAGATTTTAAGAAATGGTCTCAGTGGTAGAACATCTGCTTTGCATGCAGAAGGTCCCTGGTTCAATTGCCACCATCTCCAGTAGGATTAGGAATGCCCCGTTTGAGAGAGCTGTTGCCACTCAACGTCAACAGTACGGAGCTAGATGGACCAATGGTGTGACTTGGAAGCATAAGGCAGCTTCCTATGTTCCTACACTACTGTTCTGTGTCTCTGGCCACAATCTAGGTGAACATAACTCACAATGCAACTTCATTCCTGCTGTGCCATGCCCTATGTCCACTGCAGACGGCCAGTGATATGAGGCTGGGGGGAAGCACTGCACAGAACAATTGTGCCACATCACACATAGTGTTTATCTAAAGACGAGGGAAAGAAACAAAGAGCAACAGCAACCCCGTGTCTCTCAAAACATCTGGTTGAGTCCTCTGTGGCTGGGTGATTCTGGTTCAGAGCAGTGACAGCATAAAGACATGGATGTTCCTTGAGCCCTGCGAACCTTGTATCAAGGGAGGCTTGTGAAAGAAAGCCCATTTGTACTTCCTCCGTGACAAGTGTCACAACATTTGCAAGGAGATGAGCATGAGTAATTTATTTTGACCGTTTCATAATGTATATTGTTGTGAAGCCTCTCTTAGAACATTAGAGCATAGTGGATTGTTGTAAGCGAACAGCAAAACCTCTGTTACGCATTTCCAGTTTGAGAACTGACTGAATGGCCACTTTAAAAATGTTTTCCAATGGCACTCGATGCAAGTTAAATAAGTACAAAAGAATACCAAGTAGAGCAAAATACTCTACAAAAGAATACCAAGTAGAGCAATCTTTCAACATGCTGAGCACAAGAGTGCAGACTAAAATTTAAGGCTGCAGTTTTAAACCCTACTAATCAGATGTTCAATTGAACACTGTGTTATCTCCAATCAACTGTGGGTAAGATTGATGGGTAAGCATTACAGTAAAGAGGAAAATGGGGCATGTAAATATATAAATCTCCACATCAAGTTCATGGGGCATTCATTTGAACATGAACGCTTATTCAAACTGAGCATGTAAAATCTTATCCAGATAACTGAAATTCTGATCTCACAGGAACGTTGGTTTTTCCCCATTTATAATTGAGGGTTTCACATATCCCCATTTGAAAATATATCTTCGCGAGAAGAAATAGCTAAGGAGTAAATCCTACACAAATCCAGAGGGAAGTCACTAAGACAGTTGGATGGTGCACTGTATGCCTCCTTTTGGCAACTCCTGCAGCCAAGCTGGTACCAAATGTATTGCTCTGTTTTCCTTTGTACCACATCAGTGAGGCCGAGAGGAGGGTCTTGTCATCTGGGCAGCCCAGGACCTCCATACTGACTGCCCAGGTCTGCACCCTGAAGAGGTCATTTCGGTGCTGCTAACACACCAAAAGCAACACAGGCAACAGCAGTTATGAGTTATCGGTCTCTGCAGCCACAGCAGGCGCTGTGATTCTCCAGCGGTTTGACTTCACCCCTGGAGGCACACTCCATTATCTTTCAAGACAGATGGATGCCGCCAACAATGACAACAACAACAACAACAATTTCCTTGCTCAAATTAGTAATGAAAAACAAAACTCTACCTCATTCACAAAAGTTAACTGAATGTATACCCAAACACGCTATAAGGAAAAGGGCGTGCAAAATTGGAAAAGACGATACTGATAATTTTCTGCCCAGGTTTTGCACTTGTACTTTCAAGAATTCTAAGTGTAGCTTATTTTTCCGCTCCCAATCATAGGAGCAAAACAAAGGCAGTGGGGGAGGGGTGATATGTATATCTCAAAGTGCAACTTGTATGCTTTATTGCATAGAGAACATGATTACTGGGTCCAACATTTCAACTCTCACAGGGGCCTCTATTCATTCTGCAATAAAGGCATGAAGGACACTTTGATTTATGTAGTTCACCATCTCTCTACCTTGTTGTGCAGATTTGTCTAGGGAATTTGGTCAAGTTGAGTTTGCATGATGGCCTTCCAAAACAATTTCCTCTTTAAGATCTGTAATTTGTATATCCGTTCTTAATTGACATTTCAAAACACTGCGACTTCTACTGAAGTGATTAGTCCGTTGTCCTATATGCTACAATGATTTACGGGTTTCAACTCTCTGCAGTTTGCATAGCATTCCACTGGCATTGTGCATCATGGTCACTATCATTCTCATCTAAACCCTGGACACCAAATAAAATGTACAAGAGCCATACTTTAAATCGAGTAAAGGTTGAAGGGACAGCAACGCTGGTTTACCCACTACCGTTCTCCCACAGGTACTCACCCCCACCCCCAATTTCCCCTTTATCCACTCCCATTGGCCTTGATTCATGCATGGGCGGTTGCCACCAAGCTTTAAAAGGGGAGAACTTTAAAAAGAGATACACACAACCCCCCAATTTGTGCAGGAGCTGTGTCCGTGGTCCCTGTGCGTATCAGCAGAGTCCACATATGCCTGCGTTCACCCTGTTACACACCGCCCCCATCCTGCCCTCTCCCAGGTCCAAAATGACCCGCACATCGATGGAACACACTCAAAATCCTCACTGCCTGTAGAGAATTAAGTTGAGGAAAAATAGGCTTACCTCAAGGCAACAGTCTTCCCATTCCTGTGAGTGCACATCACCAGCCTCGTCTGATATCCAATCTGTATGTCCCAATATTTGTTCTCCTGTCTGTTCTGTCTGTTACGGTTCCTTTTCTTCTTCAGAAGCTCACGGGCTTCCGGATCCCTTATCGCTTTCTCCTTGTCCTTTTCCTTTTCTTTGTTCTTCCCTCGTTTCCTAGCTTGCCTTATGTGACGTGTGTGGGGCACCGAACAGGAACTCCAGGGCCCCACATTCAGGCTGTACATGCTTTCCTCAGCGCTGCATGGAGACGAGTTGCAAACCTGGAACTCAGTCAGGTTAGCACAGGCAGAGCCTCCGTATTGGGGTGGGGCAACAATGTGGCGGGCGCGATGCATCAGCCCTTTGCCACAGGTCTTGGAGCACTCTGACCAAGCCGAGAATTCGGACACAATGCAGTCCTGCCGGCAAGGGATGAGGCATCCCTGTTCTAGCTGAGGCTTCGGTTCAAAGTACTCACATATAGTGTCCTCAGCAACAACACCATTTGATTTCTGGACACAGGTGATGTGTCTCCTCTGAATCCCTTCTTCCCCTCGGACGCACTCCGCGAGTTTTTCGACGCTCCTTGAAAGAACTGGCTGGCACGGATTCCAGTCGCCCAGCTGCCAGTCATATAGCTCCTTGTGCCGGTCACAAACCCGGAAGCAGTTCTGCTGGTTGTCCGGCCTCTCTGCCTGCCTGCAGTTCGTGACCAGCGTGGTCCATCCTTCCACGTGGGCGCACCAGACCGCTCGAGTTTGGATGCCTCCTGGGCCACATTCATCTCCCATGCACCTGCCCCATGGACCTGGGAAAACAAAGAGAGGAGTGGAGATTGAAATATCTGGCATTCCAATTGCTGTTTCCTCATTAAGACGCAAGTAGGAAGATGACCAAGTTAAGGTTCAATATATGCCAGACTCTCTACATCGTTAAAATTAATGAGGGATAGCTGTTGGTGTCACTTCGCACACCATGCAGACTATGGAAAAGCACACAACTATAGTTCTGTGCCACATTTTTCTCACCTTTCCGCAGATTGGGAATGTATTTGGATTTTGTTTCATGCAGTATAAATATCTGAACTCCTGGCATTCTTCTGAGAGAGGTCATGTTATCAAAATTTAAAGAATTAACGTGGCCTTAGTGATTTCTGCTCTCATGTTACATGTGGAATTTTGCATACATTTCCTATTAAGTTCTCCCTCCTTTAGTGATCTATCCAGTGCTAGAAAATGGTATAAAGCAGTAGCGTGAACTGAGAAGTGAACCATATGATACACATATTTTGGGTGGGATGGGAGGCAACTGCCCAGGTCTTACACACGGAGAAGTCCACATCAACGATGACCAACAATGACCATAAAGCACTGCCACATTGCTGATAACTCCCCATCCCAGAACCCCACTAACAGAAGTTGCATAAACAAACCTAATGTGGAAAATCACAAAACAAACATGATGCGGGGAGGGGGGGCACAATGTAACTTTGCCACAAATTGCCTAAATTAAACACACCGCAGAAATGCAAACTGTCATTGTTGGATAGTGCATCAACAATTAGACTTGTTTTTTTTTAAAGTAGGATACTTTCGCACCTCAACAAAAACAGTCGCTGGCCCCTTTCTTCCTCCTTTCTGCCTTTGCTGGGGAAGAATCAAATGATGGGGCCAGTAAGCTTCCTTGAGAGAGGTTAATTCCAAATCAGCTCTAGCATCAGTTGCTTCTGACATGATTCAGATCCTCCCTAGGTTCCTCTCAGCCAGCAGCAAGTGGCTGCAGCCCTTGCCTATGTGTTTAGCTTTAGAGTGGCTGAAGACAAGTAACAAAATAGGCCTGCTTATCAGTCTGCAACCACTTAGGACTTGGGCACAGCAGAAGTGGGAGCTTGAGTTGCTCTTTTTGTACTAGTCCCGCCCCATTTTGTAGATACTACATTATATCTCCATGGAGTCTTTAAGATACTGTCAAAAGAAAATAAATTTAGTTTCATAGCATCCAGAAAGGATGCAGAAGCTTTAGTGAGGGGCTTACCAAATTTTTCTTCCAGTTTCTCTGTCCCCTGTGAACTTAAGCATTTCATTAACTTCTGAAGCTTTAGAGACAGTTTGCAGCAGGGAGATGTTTGAAGCTTTTCCAAATGTTGTCATAGCTTCCTTTTTATCTCAATCTGGCCTTTTCAACTTGTGAAGGCAAAAGAGCAACCTCCAAATTATTTATTTTTAAAAATAAATTACCATCAACAATCCTGCAGTCATGACTGTCATCTGTTCTCTCTACAGAGAGATAGCACGTGAGAAATTCCTATTCATAATCTCACATCTGAATTAGCTGCCAATAAAAGTTGGGGAGAATAAGACGAGATAGCATTTACAACAATCCTGATACAGTTTTTCAATTGTGTGTAAATGTTTTCTTTAAACTTGTTATTTTGTGTTTACATTAATTGA